AATAATATAAGCACCTTGAGGTGACTGTTGTTGTGATTTCTCTTTTGTCTTCAGAACTGCCTTAATTCTGCAATTAATCTTCATCACATAGGTTCAGCAAGGTGCTGGAAATAGTCCTCAGAGATTTAGGTCCATATTAACATGACAGCATCATAGTTGCTGCAGATGTGTCAGCTGCACATCCATGATGTGAATCTCCTGTTCCATCAGTTTAATTTCAAAGGCCAGCCTGTCTGGCACCAACAATTATGTCACGTTCAATTTCCATTTCAGTTCAATGCAGTTCAATTTCATTTATATAAATCCAAATCACAACAACAGTTGCCTCAAAATGCTGTATATTGTAAAGCAATAACCCTGCCATAATACATAGAAAATCCCAACAATCAGATGAACCCCAGTGAGCAAGCAGAGTGGGGAAGGAAGAACTCCCTTTTTACTGGAAGAAACTTCTGGAAGGCTCAGGGAGGGGTAGCTATCTAACATGACTAGTCAGGGGTGAGAGGAAGACAAACGTTCAGTCACTTAAATCACATTTCTTCAGTTTGAATTTCAGCTTGACTTCACCTTGACTTGTTTTACAAGCTCAGAGTTACTACTCAGAAAAGTCACAGATGTAAACAGTATATCAGCACACAGGCTCATCATTTAGGAACTCCCAAAAACAGAAGTGATCATTTACTTTTACTCTTTTTAAAGAGAAACTCAATTAATTTTACAAATCAGAATGTGTGCTGAAGAGGTCATACTACATTTATTGAGAAGTTGTAAACACCCTTTCAAGCCTCAAGAGCAAGAAATGTGTGGATGTGAAAATATGATGTTAGAAAAAAATGAGTTATTTGTATTTTAATCATATGGTAATAATAGGATCATCTGTAATAAATTTTACAGTCAAAATTCAGTCCGAGTAGTGGTACAGCATGCATACAATTACCACTGTATATACTGTTATCAGCTTGTTCTCCAATGGTCCACTTACCAATTTCTGGGGCAGTTATATAAGTCTAATCCATTCATCTGAAGAGCCTCTTGTAGGTTATAAATTATACATGGCTTGCAGTGCAGACTCAGTCCCAAAGAAACATGCTATAGAAACAGGCTATAGAAGATAAAAGTCATTGTGTTACAGTGGGAGACAATAGTAATGAAGAATAATTAGCATTTATGATCTGCAGCATTGCGGGTCGCACATGTGTGTGTACCCTGGTAGTCTGCCGGAGGAGAAGATGGTGATGGCACCTTGGGTGGAGTCGATACGGAGTATCCTGATTCTCTCCATCTCCTGTGAAAGCTGCTGGTCTCATGTGGCCTAGGCAACAGGCTTTTTCTATAGGACTGTTGCCAGGGTAACATAGAAGCAGATCAGGGCACTGTGAAGAGGAAAGAAAAGGGAAAAAGGACAGTGCAAGGAACAAGAGAGGACAACAGAGGGGGCGTGTGAGGGGGTCGGGGAGGAAATAAAGAATAATAAAAAAGGAAAGCAGAGAGTGATAGTAATAGATGCTGATCTTTAGAGAGATCATGCCTGCAAGATGAGCTCAGGTGACTGACTATACGTACATACACATACTACGCTACATGAATCATTCTTAGTTTGTCATCTTCATGTGTTGAGCAGCCGGCAGCGCTGATATATTCCTCTATAAACTTGTTTAGCTTCCAGCTCACCTCTGTATCCCTCTGTCTCTCACTTTTAACAGGTTTTGGGGAAAAAAAAATCTGTTACTAGATAAAACTTAGATACCCATAATCCATTGATGAATTTACGAGTATAATAAGGACTGCGCTATGAGAGGCATGTGGTTATTTTCTTTAGAAGGCACTACTGCAAAAAGTTATAACTATTGTAGGATACTAAGTAAGATGGGATTTCTTTACCACTACACCACCCCATTTAAAATGGAGTTTCCATGTCACTGATCGTGGACAGAATGCGCTAAAAAAGGTGGCAGCAGGGAGCCTTGTTTAATTTTTCTGTCATGTTTGCTACTGCGTGCTCTAAATTCTTCTCTCAAAATAAGATCTCACGCCACTTGAGCAACCAAGATTTCCACATGAAAAATTAATGCATCACCTTACACTGACTCATTTAAATGTCACGCACGCTATTATAACATCTACTGACTCTATAGTATAGGATAAATATTTTACAGGCTATGGAGTGCATGGAAAATAATCGCCTCGGCCTTTTCCTTTATGATTTGTATCTGTTCAGGTACAGAAAGCAAGTTAAAAAAAAGACCTTGCTGATTTTATTCTCAGCACGCAGAGCCACATATGAACCAAACACTATCAAAAAGACCATAAAAAAAACTATCCCAAGCTAGTTCATGGAGGCAATGATGTGGTTTTTCCCCATATCTGTGCTTTCTGCTCTAAATCAATGATATTTCTTGCTCAAACTTTCCAGGCAACTTGCTGGTGATAGCTTTTGTCAGTTACTTTGGAGCCAAACTCCACAGGCCAAAGATCATTGCAGTGGGCTGTGTATTGATGTCCATCGGCACCTTCATCATAGCTCTGCCTCATTTCATCATTGGTCGGTGAGTAATCCCAACTAACAGGTCTGTTTGCTCTTTGACTTTAACCATAACCCTAATAGCAGATATTAATTATTGTATGAAAGATTCAAATAATCAATTAATGTTATTCATTTTTGTCAGGTGATGACTTGGGATAGTTTTAGTAACTGTGGAAATAAATGTCATGGTTATTTGGGAATTTTAATGATTTTTGTAACTGTTTTTTATTTCTAATAAGAAATGAGTCTACATGTTTGAATTTATTTTGCAGTTTGTCTAATCCACACAGGCTCAAAATTATAAATACAGTAATTTAAATATTTTAATAAGGGATTCTGAAGGTTCTGCAGTGTTTTTTAACTTGATGAGGGCAATACCTGTTGACTTCTCGTTAGTGATGATGGTGTACTGTGACTGGCAGTTTGATTTTTCCCAGCATAGAAAAAGGATTTGCTTGACAACAGTCATCGGACTGGCTAAAACTCAAAATAATGGGAATGTCAAAGGAACTCAGTGAAGATCCAAGAGGGAGAACTTTTGATTTATACAAGTTGGGAAGGTCTCTTTGAGGCATTTCTAAAATAACTGCATATTCCAGATCATCAGGTCAAACAATTGTATGCAAGTACAAGTAATTCAGTGTGTTACCACTTTACCAAGGCCTACAAGAAGACCCAAACTGTCACCCTTATATAAGAGGAAATTGCTTACGATGTTTAGGAACAACCCAGTGACCACCAAGACTCAAATCTTCCATGAACTGGAAACTGCTGGAACACCAGCATCACTGTGCACAGCGAAAAAGTTTTTTACGTCTCTGTGGACTAAGAGAGTGCTGACCATGAAGAAGCCCCTGCTTCAAAATTGACACCTCCAAGTTTGACTGAAATTTGTAGCTGCTCACATGTACAAGCCAAATGACTTCTGGAGAAAAATGTTACGGTCTGAAGAGACAAAGATTGAGCTTTTTGACCACTATGACACAAGGCATGTTTGGAAGAGTAAACATGAGGCTTTCAAACCTAAGAACACTGTACTGGCTCTCACGCATGGTGGTGGTCACATCATTCTCTGGGACTCTTTTTTTGCTGCTAGTGGTATTGATACAAACCACAACCCTGTTAAAAATGTGTGGACTATGCTTAAAAACCAGGTACATGCCAGAAAACCAGCAAGTATAAACTTTCTAGTCAAGAAGAGTGCTCAAATATCCAGCTAGAATTATCCCAGGAGCTTGTTGATGGCTGCCACAAATATCTTGATGAGGTGCAAATGATATTTAACCAAATATTATTGGAGTGTATGAGTATATTTGAGCATATATGTATACTTTTACTCTGTGTGGATTAGAGAAAATCCAAAATAAAGTTCTTGTTTTTTAAAACCATTAAATATGCTGCAAATCAATCCACCGTGGAAAAAGAACAGTTCAAAAATAATTAAAGACCCCAAATTACCGTCACATCCATGCCCATAATGAGTGTGTGCAAAATCCGGAGGACAGCTGCGTATGCGCTTGCTATATTACAAGTACTTAATCTGTTATTTAGAGCATCATGGGCCAGCCTATACCAGCATGTTGCCTTTTCATTAAGCACTTTCCTTTCTTCTGTCACAAATGCACATAGTCACATGTAACTGTACAAATGTCCCTTCTGGCACAAGTTGAAGCTATAACTAGTTGGAATGAGTATTTTTGTCTTTGTCGCTGATCTGAACTGTTTGAATTTTGTGAACAGCTATGAGTTTGAGACATCAGTGCGGTGGGTAGTGAACTCAACTCTTAACCCCTCTCCGTGTCAGCCAGACTCACCAGCAAACCTGACAGAAGACGGTACACTACCTCAAGTGCCAGCCTCAGGTTTGTGCTGACACACACACACAAACACACACTTGTGTAAATGAGAAATATGTCTAATAATACTTGTCTTTTGCTCAAGGTTGTGAAGGCGAGTCCAACCTGTCCATGTGGATCTATGTGCTCCTTGGAAATGTTTTGCGCGGGATTGGAGAGACACCTGTTCAGCCTCTGGGAATCTCGTATATAGATGATTTTGCAACTGAGGAGAATGCTGCACTTTATGTTGGTAAGAAAAAAATCACCTAGTGGTAGAGATAAATTTGCTCTTACCTATTTTGACTGACATGGTGCAGATGCACAACCAGAGAGAATCCCACATTGCGATAGATTTGAAAACTGAACGATATGTAGCACAAGTTTTGGTTATTTCTGTGGGAAGAAAGTCATGGGGGAGATAATCTATGGGCTTTATCTGCAAATCACTGATGACTTTCCTGCAGCATTTTACCATAGTTCCTAAGTCAGAGGTAGCAACTATGTGCTCAGACATTTTGTGGTTCAAATCTGGTGCCAACGTTTTGGCGTGGGCAACAGTCTGTGCAGGTAGAAAACATGAAACTTGTTCTAGACTGTAAACCTGCACTGCATCAAAGGTAAGTTATGTGCATTGGATGCGCTTCCAGGGCTAATGCCAAAGCCAGTGTCCTATTTCTACATTTACAGAAAATGATACTCCTCTGCACCGAAATTAGGTAGGATCTTCTTTTGCCCGTGCTTCACCTTTCCACAAGTTTCAACTTGGTAGTTTTTGCGTAAACTTGCTCGAGGACAGAGAGACAGACACACAAACAGATTTTCCTGCACAACCATGTGCAGAAGAGTTCAGAAGAGAATGACCAGACTGTTTTCAGGAAAGGAACAGTAACTCTGATAACCACCTATTACAGTCAAGGTATGCAATGTCACTGGGCAATTTTGCATATGAGCACCTCTGAATGCACAGTGCGTCAAACCTTGAATGAGATGGACCACACTGGTTATCAGTGCTGTTTGCTGAGAACAGGAAACTGAGGCTACAGTTTGCCCAGGCTCACCAAAATTGGACAACAAAACATTGGAAAAAAGCTGCCTGGTCTGATAAGTCTCGATTTCCAGTGCAACATACAAAGGTTAGGGTCAGAATGTGGTGTAAACAACATGAAAGCAGGGTGGTGGTGTAATGATGAAGGGGATATTTTCTTGGCACACTATGTCTATCCTTTTATGACCACAGTGTACTCATCTACTGATATCTGACTGTTTATATGTCATGTGTCTCTTTTGGCATGACTGTCACATCCTAGGTTGTGTGCAGACCATTTCAGTGGTTGGCCCTGTGTTTGGTTACCTATTGGGCTCCCTTTGTGCCAAAATCTATGTGGACATTGGATTTGTAAAAATGGGTGAGTTTAATACTAACAAATTTTTTAAACTGTTATTATGAGGCCAGACTGTCTACACAAATCGCTGCCATTAACACCATGACTCTGATTATTATCTGAGTGACTGTGGAATATTAAAAGTCCCTCGATTCATCTTTTGATTTAATTATTGTTGCTGATATCATAAAAAAAAAACAATGGTGCCACAATAGCTGATAAGAGTTGATAAACATTAAAGGGTGAGCCCCAGCTAACAGTCAGATGTTAAAATAAAATCTTAATAATAAGCACCATCATCGTTAGGAAAAAGTTAGAGGTGGATAAGATGTTTTGTACCTATTAAAATAAATCATATTTGACTGTGGTTTAAGGTCCTAAGGCCAGATCCACAAAACTATGCTGACATGGCTGTATGTACACATAAAGACAGAACGTTTTCTGTTTTAATAAATTGTAATCATACATAGCCTGATATGCTTTTCCACGGTTAAATGAATATACAAATGCTCCCAGATAACCATTTGCAACTGAAACTGACTTGTGCAACTGCAGAACAGCTGGCTTTGCAAACAATTGGGGTTGTGGCTATTTATTTTACTGATTCAATTTAATTCAATTCAATTCAATTTTATTTATATAGCGCCAAATCACAACAAAAGTCGCCTCAAGGCGCTGATTTTTAATGTTTATTTTTAAATGATGAACGTGATAATATTTATACACATACATCTACATATGAGTGAGCAGAATCTGTAGCAGAGGGATGACATTTCCTGCACTTGAAGCTTTCAGTTCTATGGACCAATACATGTTTGAGCAAACTTTGGCTGCTTTGGTTGTATCCAGGCAAACAATGCAAATAAAAAGCCCACTGTGTAAAATAGGTAATTTAACATGTTAATACCTCAAAACAAACAAGTGATAAAAAAGGGTTTATAGACAATGAGCAGCAAATGTCAGCAAATCTTTTGATAGTTTCTGGCCCTAGAAAAATTGCCAGTCACCCCCAGAGGCTGAGTCAGCAGACTCTTGGTTGGTTTCTTACATTGTGAGAATGGAGGCTAATCAGCATTATTGCTCGATTTTAAATGTCAAAAAGATAATCAGTCTCAAATTGCAAGACTGAAAGAAACATTAGGCTAATTTAGGACTGTGGAAAAAAAGCTAAGGTTAAAATTGAATTTTGTGCTGAAATCTTAATTAAAATAATTATAAAGCTCATTACTCATTAGCATTATAAATGAAGTCTGATTGCTGAAAAGTTGCCAATTAAAAAAAGCCATGGATTACATTTCTTGGTTTATACTGAATCTTTTTTTTACATTTCACCTGCATGCAGCTCACTCTATAAAACTCTTATTATTACCTGATCTAAAGTATCCAAATTGTTATTGTACCATTTTTCGAAAAAGCAGCAATGTCTAAAATTGCATTACCACTTTTTTGTGCACATGCATTGTTTATACGCTTAAACTCTGATACTGTGCACTGAGAGTGCCCATCAACAGCGCTGTAGCTTTGTCACTTAAATACAACAGGGCCATTGTTAATGTTATTTGTAACACCTGTTGCCTGACTTCCTTTGGAGCTCAAATATCTGCTGTGAAAAAGAGTTTTTCATTCATAAAACTGAGGCCTGATGTTATCAGAAAAAAATGGCTCACATTCGTTGCGTGCACAATTCTAAACAGAGCAGGTGTACAGGATTAGCATCACTTAGGTAATGAGGCCAGCTGAGGAAGAAGAGGGACAAAGCCCTCTGGTCGGCAAGAAAGACTGAGAGAAAGAGACAGAAGAGAACAGAACAAAGAAATGGGACAGCAGGAAAAAGCTAAAAGGAAAGTAGCCTTTAACAAAAAAAAGGAGAAGAAAAATATAGAGTTTCAGATCGATTAAAAACACACAAAGGAGTAAACATGTGTTCTTCGGCACTGGATTTTGTTATTATTATTCTTAATCTAAAAAAATAACATTCGTTTCTATAGTTTTCCTATGCTGTATAATACATTAAATGTGTCCTGTCTTATTCATAGTAACAAGCATGTTCATAACAAAGTAACAAAAACCCAACAAAAAATAGCTTGAGTAAAAATATCAATCAGTACCATAAAGTATGTCATTTTCAGACTGGACACACAATCTGAGTGCTTAGAATAGACGAAAATCAGAAAACTAGTAGAATGAATAATACATGTACCTTGTTTTCAGAAAGCATTACTTAACTTTCATCTTCTATGCCCCAAAACATAGAGACCATCACCATTACCCCATCAGATTCCCGCTGGGTGGGGGCCTGGTGGCTGGGTTACCTCATAGCTGGGGTTATCACCCTTCTTTCTGCTATCCCATTCTGGTTTCTGCCCCGCTCACTACCCGTGCCCGGGCCAGAGGTCCCAGAGAAGTGCACACCAGAGCAGACGAGTTTCATCAAAGGCTCTCCCCTTCTGAAGCACAAGTACTCAGCAGATGAACACACTAGTTTTATAGAGATGGCCAAAGGTAAGGAAGTCTATACGTTATTGGGTGTGATGTTTTTATATATGTCATATGTGGAAAACAATGTTTCTCAGAGCACATTGTATTTGGGATTAACACTTCACAATCTTGCAGTAATAACACATTTTCTTTGTGTTAAAGTGAGTACGAGCCACATTTTACATGAAGAATTGCTTATACATCATATTGCCAAAAGTATTCACTCACCTATCCAAATCACTGAATTCAGGTGTTCCAGTTATTTCCATGGCCACAAGTGTATAAAACCAACCTTGACACGCAAACTGCTTCTACAAGTATTTGTGAAAGCATGGATCGCTATCAGGAGCTCAGGGAATTCCAGTGTGCTGCCGTGATAAGATGCCACCAGGGAATGACAGCAACTCAGCCACTAAGGGGCACGCCATATAAAATCACAGAATAGGGTCAGTGGATGCTGATGCATATACTGCACAGAGGTCACTGAATTTCAGGTCAGAGTGAATCTTTACAGACCTCCAAACTTCATGTGGCCTTCAGATTAGATCAAGAACAGTGCATAGAGAGCTTCATGTAATCGGTTTGCATGGCCATGGTTACATAACTAAGCGCAATGCAAGTTGTTGGATTCAGTGGTCTAGAGCAGTGGAGACACGTTCTCTGGAAGCACAAATCATGCTTCTCCATCTTACAATGGACAAGTCTGGGTTTGGTGGTTGCCAGGAGAACAGTATTTGTCCGGCTGCATTGTGGAAAGTGGAAAGTTTGTTGGAGGAGGATTATGGTGTTTTTCAGGAGTTTGGCTTGCCCCTTTAGTTCCAGTAAAAGGAGCTCTTAATGCATCAGAATACCAAGACATGAGCAAGTTTGGTGTGGAAGAACTGGCCTGCGCAGAGTCCTGACCTCAACTTGAGAGAACGCCATTGGGATGAATTAGACTGGAGACTGCGAGCCAAGCCTTGTCGTCCAATATCAGCAAAAATTCCGATAAACACTCCCTTACCTTGTGGACAGCCTTCCCAGAAGAGTTGAAGCTGTTATAACTGCAAAGGGTGGGCCAGCATCATAATAACCACATAACATAACATAACATAACATAACACACACACACACACACACACACACACAAAACATAATAATCACTTAAGTTCATATGTGTATGAAGGTAGATGAGAAAATAGTTGAGGCGATATAGTGTGCCTGATGCATCACTGCCTTTGCATATTGCTATGTTTTTTGTCATATTACATCAATATGCCAACAATGTACACTCTGTACAATATAAACAAAGTGGAGCCTCTTATCAAAACTTCACTTGCACAGCTTTATTATCCCTTTGAAAACTACTCATAATGAATTGAATTTATACAGTGCAGCTCACCACTACGTCATCAAGACACTGAATCAGCTTTATGTCACGACTTAGAGAGTTATTGCTTATTTTGTGCTGATGTTAATGGCAGAGAAGGTTTGGAGATGTTAACAGTACCGCGTTTGAATCCAGCGAGCTCTTTAAAAAGACTCATTCTTTCAAAAAAGGCTCTAAATGCATCCTGCGCAGCTAGGAATTTGATTTTAAACACCTGTGGTAATGGGACAGAAAACACCTGAATTCAAAGAGGTGCGACCCAAATACTTTTAGCCATATACTGTATGTATTGCATATTTTTGTCTTCCTCCCTTCACCTCCAAACAGTCGCAGCAGATGGCTGCCCCCTCCCTAAACCTGGTTCTGCAGGATCTTTCTTCCTGCTTAAAGGGAGTTTTTCCTTCCTGCTGTCACCAACTGCTTGCTCATAGGGGGTCATGTGATTGCTGAGGGTTTCTTTGTGTTATTGAAGGGTGCCTGCCTCACAATAAAGCACCTTGAGGTGGCTATTGTTGTGATTTGGTGTTATATAAATAAAATTGAATTAAAATGAATTTTAACTCATCTGTATTTTTGACTCCACAGATTTCATTCCAACCCTGCGAACGCTGCTGGCACACCCAGTCTATCTGGTCTACCTGTGCGTGACAATCATTCAGCTGAACTCTCTCATCGGCATGGTCACTTACAAGCCCAAGTACATTGAGCAGCACTTCAGACAATCAGCTTCAAAGGCCAACTTTCTGATGGGTATGGTACATGTTTCATGAACATTGTGCTGTTATATAAATTATTAGTGTGTTACACTTGAAAATGATCACAGACAACTAGGGAAAGCTTTCCAGCTTGTTTCATATTGTATGGGAGAAAAAGGACTCGGACGTCCCTTGTTTGATCAAATGAATTCTAGCGTCAAGTATGGAAATGGCGTTATAATGCAGGAATCATGTGTTTAACATGGTAATTATAAAAGATTTATGGGCTTTCTGTCCATTCAGCGTTACCCTCCTCCTTCTTCTCTTTTACATTTGTTGGATGAAGCAGAAATAGAACTTCAGGGAGTGGATCTTGTTAGAGAAAGGAGAGCTGGGTTAGCTATATTCTAATTCAATCCACTAACAGCCACAGCTGCAGAGACTGGAGCTTTGTGAATATGAGAACTACTTTGCACATGAAATAAAATATCTAATGAAGTTCATAGCGTAAAATGAAAATATCTAGGTTCATGTGGTCTCATCAAGGGAGATGCCTGCGCTGACCAGACTGGCTGCATATGAAAGAGAATGTAATATTAGTGACCAGAGCTAATGACATGGATGTAGATAAAAGACCATGTCTCCACATTGATGTTAAATAAAGCCATAAAAAGATAAAACGCACGGTTCTTTTTTGATCATGGTAACTTGGAACTAGTGTAGGGTTATTTTACCTCCGGAGCTGCCTCAATAGTTTACTTGCAAGGTAGGATAAGCAGGTATCTGAAAAACAATAGTGAAGCTTTGATGAAAAATTTAAAATGTTACCATCATTCGTTGTTCGAATCCTGATCTAGCCTTTTAAACAGCATCTAATTAATCATGTGCTTTGCTGTTTCCTTTAATCTCAGGTGTGATAAATATCCCAGCTGTGGCACTGGGGATGTTTTCTGGAGGTCTGCTGATGAAGAGGCTGAAGCTGAACATCATGGGAGCAGCCAAGTTCGCCTTTGGCACATCCCTTATTGGTTACATCCTGTCACTGTTCTTCTTCGCAATGAGTTGTGAGAATGCCAAGGTGGCCGGGGTGACACTTTCATATGACAAGTGAGTCAGAGGCGATTATATGATGTGTCGAGGTTAATGGCTACTTGTCTGGAAAATTTATTTTTCCTCCAAACTATTAAACGCAGCAGAGTTGGCCATCTAATATTTGAACGATTCCTCACTATGGTGGCTGAAAGCAACACGTTATTTAAATGTTTCATATCGTGCATCAGAGTTGATGTGCAAAAGGGATTTCTCAAAAAAGAAAATGTATGATAAAAGTCCATTTAATCATGAGGATGTCGACTCATATTTAAGCAGAACTGGCAACATTTCCATGGAGCTGCAAATAAAGGAGCACGAGGAACCCTTTTGTTAAGCATATTTGGGAACCAGTAGGTGATTACAAGCTGAAACCAACACAAAATCATCCTCTGGGTTTGCCTAATAATGCACGTCAGTATTCAAACACAACTGAAGTGACACTGCTGAGATGAAAAGTTAAAAGTAGCCAGAGGGGTGCAGCGTGCTAATTAGTCCACGCAGCGAATGTGCCGAAGCTCGAAAACCAATTTAAAAACCAAACACTGCATGTGGTAAATAAAATATGGAATGTGGAAAATAATGCTCAACATCTCGCTTATTTAGTTTCATAAATGAAGGAGGATTGCTCTGGCGCCAGTCATTTTTGAAGACACTGATGATTGGAAACATGCAAGTTTGACTGTGTTTATTTAAAGCGGTAATATTTCATGTTATTACAGATTACATTGTAACCGTATAAAAAGGGGGTTGCTTGTAGTGATGAATCTAGAGAGAACTGTGGGAATTAAATCTGCAGCTTACTTAACAGTCTGAGCTCAAGATATAGTCTGAATTTTGCTGGGTAAACTAGATGGAGACGATTTAGGAAATAAACAGCAGGATATTCCTCTCAGGAGATGATGGACCAAAAAATCCACCAAAAAAACTGACCTACATTTGTCTGTAGGCCAGGAAGAGTGACTGAATATGCTGCACTTTGCTAACAAATTTGCCATATCACCTTGATAACGTATGTCTAATGTATCCCTAGAAACTCAAAATCCATATAAAATATATGCAAAATTGTAAATAATTGTATTTGTTTCTGAGTTGTACTTCTTTCTGAGTTGTACTTCTTTCTTATCATCTATCTTCCAGCATCGATAGGATATCGTATGATAAGCACCCGCTCTTCACAGACTGCAACTCAAAGTGCGTTTGTTCATCGAGCGACTGGGACCCAGTCTGCGGCGAGAACGGCATCACATATGTTTCTCCGTGTCTGGCTGGCTGCACCACCTCTGCTGGCTCAGGAAAAAACACAGTAAGTTTACAAGCGGCTCAGAAAGTAAATACTGTACAAACAGAATCGGTTGGAAATTATGAGGCAAAAAACTTTGTTAGTGTCTCGTCTGTTTTAAAACTTGGAGTAGTCTTACATCCCAACTGCGTAACCTTGGCTGGCTCAGAAAAACATGCATTTTTCTCAGAAGTGGGTTTCTACGTTTCATTTGGATTACACACTGTTTTGCCATAAAAGTCGTTTGGCGTGAACTTCAAGGCATAATTCTCTTTTTTTTAAAAACTAAATGTTAGTGAGAAGAGATCTTCTGTCACTCATTCATGACTGTGCATTCATTTATTCTCCATTGTGAGAATAAATACAGTTTTCATGAGAAAACGTCGTAACACTTGCCCACAAGATACATGCTTTAATATGAGAAAATAACAAAATGAGTTGTACAATCTTCTATTCCTGTAAACTTGACCAATATAAGATAAAAAATAAGAATAAGACACTAATTTCATTGCATTAAATTGAATTGCTGGTAAAATCTCAAACGTGGGCAGCAGATCAGTGATCTGGAACCAGGCTGTGTCGGTCTTTACGGCTCATGGCTGGTTTTTAAAAGGGGACTTTTTATGCTAATTCTTGCACTTTATTAAATTAACTTTACATGATTCACATTCAAAAGTGCATGTTTCTGTCTGAAATAGGCAATTTTAGCTCCTCTCCCCTTAAGGCCACTCTGACCATATTAAGGAAATCCCCTCTCTTTGACGTCATGCTTTCGGCTTTTGGTGATGACTTGCACATGCGCAGACCTTTGGCAGTGTTTAAAATGATCCTCCACCCTTGTGAAACTATATTAATTATGATAAGTCTGCTTTAATTGTTATTTATTGATTCGTGCAGTTATCAAGAAAGGGTATTCACAGTTTTGATGACTAAGTGCTGTTTTAGGGAGCAAGCATGTGACTGAGGGCCTTTAAGGGAAGCCCACACAGCCAGTGCTTTCAAGCTGTTTTCACACATGAACCTTGGAGAGTTTCATGAGAATTAGATTTGGATATTTTCCACTGTTCCTTTTTCTAACATGTAGCACACAGCAGGAAATAGTCCACTTAGTTTAGGCCAGGGAGTTCCTTACACAGTGGAGGCAGCCTCTCTAAATCGCTGTACACAATGTTTTACATTCATTTGGTTGCTTACTTCCTGGGTATTATTTGCCTGTAAAGATATGACTGCCATGTAAAAGTAAACTATGAAGACTCGTATATGATTGTCTTTATTTAAAGAAAGTTTGATTGACTAAAGGCTTGTGTTTGAAGTTTTCTGTTAATCAGTAAGTGAGGTTTTTTTAACCAGCTAAATTCAAAATGAGGGAGTTTAATGCTAGATTTACTAAACTGCTTAAAACTGTCTTATGGTGTAAAAACGTTGGGACAAGTTAGTTAAGTCAAGTTAATTTATTTATTAGCACATTTTAAAACAACACAGGTTGGCCAAAGTGCTTTACAACTAAATAGAATAAAACAGCAGGGAAATAGAGAAATAACAAGAAAAGCAAGAAACAAAAAGAAAAGAAACGCATCAAAACTCAGTCAAATTTAAACACTAAGGAGTAAAGGCGTGTCTTTAAGTGAGTTTTAAACATCTCAAGGGTTGTAGAGGTGCTAATTTGAAGAGGCTAACTGTTGCAAAGTTTAGGTTTGATTACAGCAAAGGCCTGGCCTGCTCTGTGTTTTAGTCAAATCAGCTGACTTTAAAGATTTATTAGGAATAGTTAAAATAGGAATAGTTCAAAGTCCAGAAAGGTAAGAGGATGCTAAAGTCCATTTAGTGACTTAAAAACAAGTAATAAAATGTTAAAATCTGTTCTACTGGAAGTCAGCATAAGGAAGCCAAAAGTCAGCATCTAAAAAACATGGACAGAGTTGTGCAGCATCCCAAATCAATAACTGAATATTGACTTGAACAGTGTCCACTTTTATGCACATAGCACTGTTATTGTCCCAGGGGTTGTATTTGAGAAATAACATGCCGTGTATCACTTTTTCCATTAAACGTAACCTGTGCCAGTATGTCTGAATGGTAATTCTCATTATTTATTGTATTTTTGTACAGCGACATTGCTTTTGCACCTCATGTTTTGCAAAATCTTTCTGCACTTTTTCTATAAAAAAGACATTAAAAACTACTATCATCTTTTGATTTGTATATAAATTTAGTTTGCAATTCTATGTATACAGGCTAGTGACAAAATAAAGGAAAACCCTCTCTGAACTCCCTCTATCTCAGTAAGGTGTTGGGCACACACACGCACACTGGTTTTTCTGTTAATTTGTCTGTAGTTGTCTGTGTCTAGCTATATGGTCATATGTGTGGAATATGCGTGTCTCTCCAGGTCTTCTCTAACTGTTCCTGTGTCGGTGTGGCTGGTAACTTTACGGCCAGTACAGGTCACTGCCCTCAAAAGGACGACTGTGACAGGATGTTCCCGTACTTCCTGGCTCTCTCTGTCATCACTTCCTTTATCATCTCTCTTGGGGGGACACCAGGATACATGCTTCTTATCAGGTCAGATTAAATTTAAGACATATAATGAGAAAGGATCTTGAAATAACTACATTATCCCTGTAATCGTATTAGCATTTATATCAAGCCTCAATTTCAAACTTTTAGAACCGTCTATTTAAGGTGGTACAACAAGCATTTCTTGTACTGTTTAGTATTTTCCTTACCTTGAAATCCCCACACACCTGGGTTTGGGATAACAGTGGACAATTGGGAGGTTCACTCAAAGAACAGCCAACATTTCCTTGCCAGTATTTTGCTCGAAAGTGTGGCTTGTTGAGGCTGTGCCACGCCTGGCATGCAGACAAACAGAGGTCGAAAAAGCAAAGACAAAAAAACTTTGGTCACGATGAACATTTTTCCATTGCCGCACACAGAAACACGGTGTAGTGGCGGCACTCCGTCTCTATTTCACTCTTCTGTACCACCTTTAGGAGTCAGTCCGGCAACATGCATTTGAAACGCGAGCAAGTCCAGGTACTTTTCTTTCAAAAAAGATGTTTATTGAAACTTTTAATTTACATGGCAAGACTCGGTCAAAAAACTGTGTTGCTTCCAGCTTATCCGACTCCCCAACTACGTAATTACAGTGTGCCGGAAGCCCAAAATACTAAAAAGCGCATTAGAATATCGCACTTCTATATTCTATACCTTTAACAAAACAGTATTTTGAAATTAACTAGAAATTATATTCTTAACATCAAACATGTATATTTCTCCTCTAATCATTTTACCAGTACCAATAAAATTAACCTTTAATTGGCTCTTACACACGGAAATACTAACATCTTGAACCAATTCAGATTTAATAAAATGTTGTTATACTAATTAATCAGCATGTACACAGAGTTATGCCTTGTGACTGAGCACAGACTTCCTGCAGCCATCTCTGATGCAGCATGAGTCTGCGGCCAATATAAATAAACATATAAATCAATATTTAAAAAATCTGTTTTCTAATTGATAACGAACAATCAGTAGATTTCGGTGATCTCTAATAATTAATATAGGTCATTATTGCAGTTTTTGTTTTCTCATATGAAGAGATAATAAAAATAATATGTTGACAAAGCACATTCATGAGCAAATCACATAGTGACAATGACACGCTTCTGCAAAAACAAAGCCTGAATTACAGAAAGCTATAATTGAATTACTTTGTATTGTGAACATCCATGTGGGAGTGTTTGGACTGATAGAAAAAGTCCAAAATCTATGTCATCATGCACATTTTCCAAATCTATCCAATGGACTGGATCAGAGTCTTTGCCAGGCCGCCTTGCCTTATGTTTGACATCCCTGAGTTAGACTATAGATGGGGCTTGGATAAATAAGATACACAGAGATGCCCACACAGTCCATCTGAAAAGACCTAATGCTGTACATGTTGCATGTGCATGCTTTGCATATGAAGGGCATATCATATAATTTGGACTCTTTAGAACAAGCCCTGTACTGTACTACTACTACTGTAGTAGTTGAGTCAGTCCTAAATGTTTAATGTCATTTGTTGTAGTTACCATTGACTTTTACACAATTTTATACCTGCTTGTGTCACTACTGCAAACTTTGGAGCTTGTTTTCATAAAGCCTTGTATAAACTTCCTGTTATTAGCAGTGGCTGCATACTTGTTTGTGGATTTGTTTGTCTGCCAAACTTATAAAAAAGGGACTTTGTCAAATTAATATTTAAAAAAACCCAATATTTGTTCCAGTGGCTAGTTGAGAATGACGGTGAGGGCAAATCTTTGCTCTGCTAGTCACAAATGATTTCAGTGACACTGGAAAGTATAAAACAGATACTGTTACCTTGCTGACATGTCTGATCTCAATGTGTGGAAGGACACGTATCATGCCTGTTATTCAAAACTATGATATGCTCCTTAGCACACTGGTAATTACCAGTGTCAGTTTCCACAATCACATTACTCAAGGTTAAATTCAATAACAATGAAGAATTCGTTTAGCTCAGCAGCAGGTATAGAGAGACTTTACAAACCCCAACAATCAGTGTTGCAGCTGCAGCTGAATACTAAGTTACCTAAAGTGAACGATGACTGGCTAAAAACAGTGCTGAGGGTCGTAGTATACGAAATGCTTACTGCTTTAAACTTTGTGAGCCCAGAAAGTGACAGGTGAACATTTTGACTAGCTGACCTGTGGCTAATAAACTGATTTATTTGATTTATGACAATAACTCTTGAGTGTCAAGTAGACATCTAATAGTAAAATAAATGTAATCCAAGACTACGCTTTATAGCAGCTCCCTTGTACCTGTTATATAGTTAATCCTGCCAGCTGAAGCAAAAAATGCATTTTAGGCTGTTCTGTGTTCAGTCTTTCCTGAAAGTTGTTCACATGCCTGTGGGATAGCTGTAGGGCCGTTCACTCGCAGAGCCCGCTTGATGATACAAGTAATCTTCTAAGTCTTATCATAGAAGCATTTCCACTCCTGGATCCAATACACTGACACAACCAGTCTTATTTGTGTACACAAAAACAGCATCAATGTTGTACAGAAACATCTCGCACATCTTCAGGATTTTACCAGAGGTATAGGTGGTATACAAACCCAAAATCATGTGTCATCAACCAGGCTTCAAATTTTCTGCCACACAGCGGCCTCTGGTGGTTAACTGTGGACTTTACAGTGACATGCTGTGAGATATTCCATACATGCGTGTGCTAATCATTTATTTTCTGCTTTGTTCTCCCTATAAATCCAACTCGGGTGTGTTTTTCAAGTGAAGAGATTTATGCTAAGGGAATTACACCCTCCTATATGCGAGCACATAAGCACACACTTAACACACAAACGTAGGACGTCTTAAAGCCATGTCAGCTGATACTGTTGGATTCCAGTGGCCTGGCAGGAATGTAGTGACTTTGCGCTGTGCGTGAATAGTCATCTTATTATTCCTCTGTTCATTTTCAGAGATCAGAAAGCCGGTTTAGTTTCCATAGGAATGGTAAAAGTTCCTCTTAACAGTTTTATCAAATGTCATATATTTTGTTGTTTAAGTGGAACAGCTATGGTTTACATTTTGTATTTACATGTACACTGGCTTGAGTAACAGTGGCATTACTTCTGATGTTACCTAATAGGCTTTTTTTTTTGTCCAGTAACAATAGAAACTGATTTAAATGATAGTAATCATATTCTATTTATTTATTTATTTATTTATTTATTTATGCAGGTGCATCAAACCACAGCTGAAATCTTTGGCCCTGGGTTTCCACGCACTAGCAACACGGACCCTTGGTAAGACTTGTTCGGTAGTCGGGAATGTTCTGGGATTTGATCTTGGTTTAACTCTTCCTGAAAACCTTTGCTTTGTTTGTCCAAGTTTAGTCAAAAAATGTTTGTTCAGATTTTTCAAAATAGCGTTCGCTGTTACCTGTTGTTTTAATTTTAGGAGACGTGACTGTGAAAAGACTTTGTTTCCTTTGTCTCACAGCAGGGATCCCAGCACCCATTTACTTTGGAGCCATCATTGACACCACATGTCTAAAATGGGGTCAGAAAAGGTGTGGGGGCATAGGAGCCTGTCGAATATACAACACCACCGCCTACAGGTTGTACTTACACATGTACTATTCAGTCGTTTGTGAATCCCCTTTTTTAATTAGTCCAAACATTCAATTCACAATGCAGCCTTAAGTGTGACCTTCTGTAGACCAGACCTAATCTCATTTATTTGCTGATGCTTAACTGGAAATACTTCAATTGAATTTGAACTGAATTGGCAGTAACCTCTTGCCTACCCTACTTCTTGTTTTCTAGTTTTTCTGTGACCCCTGGAAGCTATACGCAAGACATTATAATTCCTGTTTATAGCTTCCAAATTATGATTATTAAACATTAATAAATATTATCTAATTACCCTAGCTCAATTTTCTGGTACATCTCAACATAGGGAATCTATTGCAGCATTAATTAATCACCAACTCTTGTCTGATGTCTTGCCAAATTTTGCTCATTTTCATCAAATCAATCTTTTTCGTGCCTCTCAGAATAGCATACCTGGGCCTGACTCTGAGCCTACGGACTATCTCCTTTATTATTTGCATCCCGGGCTTCATCCTGCTCAGTCGACAGCTGAAGGAGGAGGAACGAAGCGCCATCCACGGAGCTCTGAGGAACGGTGGAACCGAACTGGACGTGCTCAGGAAGGAAGAGTTGGTTATTTCTAATTCTGACCAGCCACACCACCCATCAGAGAACAGCACAGATAGGCAGACACGACTTTGACAGAGCCAGCAGAGCTGACGGCCGCATATATACCCACAGTATGTCCAGAGCGCCGCTGCACACATGCACGCTCGCTCGCATGAAAACAAGATTTGCAGGGAATCACTTTTGGTCCAGTCATCTCATGTAAAACAGAAATTCTATATTTGTACTGCTGGATGTGTAAAGGCTTTGTAAATCTGACAGAAATTTGATGTGACTGAAATATTTCTTGAATGTACATGCTGTTTTTCCTTTTAAGAAAAAAATACAAACATACGATATTTTTGAGTTGAAGAAAAATATCAGTTAGGAAATGTGACTTGTACAGACTACTGCAAAACAGTACTATTTTAAACACCAGCATTTCAAAAGCTGCCTCTTTAAGATCCTTCTTTCAAAGTTATTCCAGCTGACAGTAGTGTTACAGAACCGAAGAGGTAAAGTGGCCTTATAAACCAGAGGCACAACAGCAAACTGATATGTCCTAAAAAGAAAAATCTGACCTTTATAGACCTGAGATATTTTTTTCTCCTTTAAATGAGTTGTAGAATTGCTCGTTTCAGTAACACTTGGAGGATATTGATATGATGTTTCGGTATGTGCCTCATTCACTCAACTGTTACTTCTTAATGTGTGTTTCAGAGATCTTTAAAAAACAATTTCATTTTACTTTTAAATTTCAGATCATCGGATCTTTACTCGTTTAGGAAAAAACGATTCATTTTAGCTTTTTACTTAAAGCCCAAAGTTGTGAGTGTATAGCAGTTTGTTGTTTTTGTGCTTTCTGGATGTGAACTTTGGGTCCGTTGATATTCATAATCACTAGAAATGGGAATTGTATTTTAGTGAAATCTGCTTCAGCAAACAGCTCTGCTTTTTTCCAACTCTAGAGCCATGAGAGCCTCTGAGTGGTGCAAATGTTTTAGTTTCACACACACAACTGACTAAAGCTGTTAATAGCTGGTATCAGATCAAATTTGCATCTTAAACTTCTCAGTTGGGCTCCCCAGGCTCTGGTATTAAATAACCGTTGCTGTGCCTTGGAAAAGGCAGAGATTGTATTGTTGCAACACTGATAAAGTACTTACTGTAAAAAAAAAAAAGGAGAAGAAGAAGAAAACACTGTGTGTGATTGTTGTTGCTGATATGTAAAAGTTCTGTTTCCATCGTCATGCGTTTCACTGGTTGGTGTTTCTACCTTTGTATTCTTTATGTGTGTCTTTATGCCAATGTCACAATTTTATCTCCCCTTTCTTCTCTTAAACATTAACCCCATTTTTGTAAAATCTGACAGTGATTTCTCAGTTGTATGAATCGAGTATGTAGCATTTTTTAAATTTTATACAACTTTTTTTTTTTAAAGAACTCTTTTTATCCCAGTCTGTCACTGAAATCCTGGACTTTTTTAGTTTAGCATTTCCTTTCATTGAGAGCAAATATCTGACTGCTTAAACTAAAACTCTGTTCAGGGATCTGATGAAATTATCTGAGGGTACACTAGCTGCTCTGATGTGATGTTTTGCAATGACTGATGAAGTCGTGATCTCTGGAATGCATTCAAATTCATGCCCAAAGTATTGATATGGTTGAAAGTCGAGCACCGATTATTGAGACTCATTGCAACACTTTTCTTTAGTGCAATCTCTTTGATTGACACATTTGTGCAATACCAGATGCCCTTTATATGTACATCAGCAGAAAGACTAAATTTGCCCAGTTTAAAATTCAAAACGTGGTAAAGGATTTGACAGACTTTTTAATAAAGACACACTTTCCCGGAGTATTATTTTCTTCGGACAGTTCCAACAGCAGTAAGTGGATCAGACAGAAATGATAAAGCTTAGGGTACATCCTACCACTGACACTAAAGTGTATTCAGAAGTATTGATAATGCAAACCCCTCCCCCGTGCCCCCCCAACACACACACACACAAATAAAATAAATACAAATATATATTTATACACATATGTCCCTATGTGATTGTATATTTTCATGATAAAAAGCATCATCTGTCCTGTTATTACAAGTGACAAACACCTCAACATCACATGTTGTGGTATTTGTCACTTTCAACGGGAGCTGTGCGTTTTAAGTAATATGCTGGTTTCATAGTTTATAATATTTATAGATAATATTTATAGTAGCATAAACTCTATTGAAAATGAACACTATTTACCATGTAGCTTTTGTATTGCTGTTCTGCTGTGGGCTATCAGCAACTCGTCGCTGAGGAGAACCTGTAATCTAAATATGGCTTCTGGTTTGGTAGCTTAGGGGACCTTAACTGAAAGTATTTGCTTGATTTGTGGATAGATGAAATTTGGCAAAATTGGGTTTTAAAAACATGGTAAACTGTTAAACTTTAAAAACAGCATGTGGATTGAAGGAAGGTTTCTTGCATTGCACTACTGTTAGGAATATTCTGAAGTTTCCTATAACTTTCCACTCAAGTGCCAAATCAGATTTAGTCAGTCCCATTTTTTTTTTATTTTTAGATATCAGGGTGAAGTGATATTGCTCCAGTAACAGAATGTTCAGTGTGACTCAAAAAAGGCATTCAATTTAATTTTGCAGTCACCAGTTTTATTTCAAGGTCATGAATTTACGTTTTTCAAAGGAGCCGTGGACCCACAACACACGTACTATTTGGGTAAGTTGCAGCATGAGGTGACTGTGTCATCTTCAGGTTCAGTTTCAGGCTGACAAACTCAGAACGGTGTAGAGAAAGAAAGTCATTATCTCAATAATGTAAGGCATTTACTTGCATTAAAGAAATCAGAATGTAAATAATTTTCTTGGATTATTTTTGTAAAATTTCAAGAAATATCTTAAATGAAATATTAAAATAAAGAATTTTAATACCCAATCACATTATGTTTTTTTTGTGATTTGTTTCATTAGCTGGGAAAATGAAAAAAGAAAAAAATGGTTGTAGTGCAGGAGGCACACGGACCAGAAGGGAAGTGTGGTCCTGCTCCTGAAATTCAGATAAATGATTAACAGAGTTTGTGTTAAGAATTCAAAACAAAGTGCAGGAAAAAAGAACCTTTATTAAAGAAAATTCTGCTTTCTACGTCCACTGGAAAGGCACTTAAATCTGATTTTTACGTCCAAACAGCAGAGCGCAACATGAACATGTATTTATATTACCGGGAAAATGAACAATGGTAAATCACTAATAAAAAGCAAACATTTAAATATGTGGTGATGACAATCGCAGGTCCTGTTTCACAGTGACATGGATTTGTTTTGTTTGGATAATTAAAAGATATACAAAAAATATATATTAAAAAAAAAACAAAGACAATCTTTTTTTGTGACATAAAATATGAATCCCAGCAAACTGTGCACCTTAACACAAAATTGAGCATGTGAAGAACATCCAGACAAAAACCTAACTATGACTTAAAAAAAAAAAAAGTTTTACTTTATGTGCCAGATCTTTTTACAACTTCAAATTAAAGGAAAAAAAACTAAACACAGACACAAAAACAAACAGATACTGGCTAAAACCTCTAACTACTGTCATCCATTATAGCTGTACAGGTATAACATCTGGCACATCGGCTGAAATACCGCAAAACAAAAGTGAAGCTCATTTATCTCAGTGCATCTGTACATGCAGTCTGTATTTGCATACTAAAGTTAAGCTGCAAGTGGCTGCACAAAAACAAGAGAAAACCTTTAGCATAAAAATATTTTTCTAACCATTTCACCACATTTATAGATCGCCTCAACTTTCCCCATATCTTGTGCAAAGTGGCAAAAACAAATGAGACAGAAAACACTCATTTTGTTTGATATTTGATATATTAAGTGCTCTGTGATCAGTCCTGAGTCACTTACTAACTGAACTCCAATTGCTTTGCACAATTAATCTGCCCGATAGCGCACCCTTGAAAAAGAAAATCCTCTTAGTCAGGCTGCACCAGGCAGAAACAGATATTACTCATTCCATTTAAGCCAGTCTCGTGCTCTAATAAAGGTTTAAGTCTTTTGAAACCATTGCTGCTACCAGCCGAAAGCATGTTCCTCAGATGAGCCGGTCTTTAATTTGTAATTAAATACTACGACACACGGTGTTACAGATGGTAAAGCATGTGGTGCAATTGTCTGTGACTGAGCTAAGTAAACACTTTAACCTTTAACTTTTCATCTAATCTTCCTTTTTATTTCCACTGTCTTGCAGATTCTGAAAGGAGAGAAAATGAAAATATCAGTTAAAATAGTATACTGTATTATACAAGTCAACACTCCATAAAGGTTCAAAGTGTCAGTTAGTTGTTAAAGAAATGGATGAAAACCTGAAAGTGAACAGAATTTGCAGTCTTTCACTAGTGATTTGTGCTTTAAATGTTTCAAAACATACTCGAGGCCTAAGCTTAAATGATAAATTGATGGCTTCTTTGATCACGAAATATGGAGGGACCACATTGCTGATCCGAGGCTGCCTGCCTGATGTTAATTGTCTTGAATGTCACTTTGAATTGTTACATCTAGCTAGTGAACGACCCAGCAAATCATCACCCTGCTGTGTTCAGAGCTCAGCATTACCTGGAGCTCCTGGTGTTCTTTCAACAGCCTGTCATACTCCCTGGCGAGGCCCTCCATCTGTTTCTTCATTACATCTGCCTCTGAATGAGACTTCTTCAGACCTGGAGAGGAAAACAATGACACATGAGAACAAGGAATCCCCACCCCCCATGTCTTTGTCTACAGAAACTGACAAGTTATAAAAGCTACATTTGTTTCCAGGGAAGGTGTAGAGGACTGAAATATACACAGATATTAACCGTCTCCAGAAGTCTTCAGTTCTTCTTTCAGTTTCTCTACTTCATTCCTTAGCAGGTCCATGCCCTCAGCAGTAGCCCTATCACCCCGCCCTTCCATCAGAGTCTGATAACATAAAAATACATATATTCAAATCTTCAGTCAAATATAGTTATCCCAGTAACTCCAGTGGAAAACACTATGCATATTCCAGGCGTACAAACTGAACAGTCAAACCATCGAGCAGGCTATAAACATAAAATATGCTCTGGATGTGGATTAAGGGTTAAAGCTGAGTTGGGTAGCTTTCATTTCAATTCATCTTTATATGATTACAATCAACTGGGTACTCTGTTAATATAGCTTTAGATTATGTAAGCAACAAGCTAATATGTGCTATTAAAATCTGGACTTTGAAATTCTGTTTTATCATTCAATAACTGCGTAACTTATTCCCTGACCAATATGAGTTTCCCCACATGCAGTTCAAAGTGGGTTATTGATTACAAATAACAGATCTTTGTGCCATTACCTGTTTCAACAGTTCATTGTCTTTCATGTATTTCTCAGCAGTCTGGTTAGCATTCTCAGCCTGTGCTTGAAGAGCAGCCGTAGTCCCAGACGCTGACGCTAGCTGATTAATCAGAGTGATCAGTCGCTTCATAACGCTGCAAAAACACACAAAGGTTACACAAAGGAAAGCCAGGTTCAAAGTCCAGGTGTTGTATTAGAGCTCAGACTCACAGCCACAGGAAGACGGCAAAACCAGAGATGTACAGATTCCTCTGGGCTCTAAAAAGCTTCATGTGCAAGTGGTCGAACATATTTGGTTGCAGCTTGGCATCGGCGCCGTGCTCTTTAGATGAATACTTTCTCACTTCACGGACAGCATCTTTAAAAACCACAAAACAATAAGACAGACAGATGAGTTACTATACAGAGATTTGAGTTTTAACTTGTATGATCGTCACAAGATTTTTTTTTTTTTTTTAATCAGACAAAAAGAAAAAGAAATCAGCCATAAGTCCAAAAGTAGCATTAAAAATACAGACAGGGATGATTGTTTGATTACCGAGGAAGAGAACAATGAGTATTATGATCATGGTGAGAAACACTTTATTCCAGAATCTCGACATCCAACTCCAGATCCTCAGTTGGAAAATGCTCTGCCATCTGCACAAACATTTGAAGTCACATCACTATGGTGCACAACATAACATTTCTTACAGGATTACTACAGCTGACAGTATATTTGACGCAGAAACAAACACCACACTTTGCTGCCAGTGGTGAGACAAACCTGACACATATGCACAAGGTCGTCATTATTTAGTGTTTAGTTAGTACCTTTTTCAGCAATCCAAAGTACCACAAAGTGCACAATACAGATGAAGAAATGAGTTCAGGCAGGGTGGAGTGGGTGTAAATGAGTTTCAGGGGTAATTTGTGACAGAAGGATGTCAGCAAAGGTGAAAGGAAATGTTCAGAGAGACCTGCTATGATGTGTGAGTTAAAGATGTTGGCAGATTTTAATTTGAGAGTTATCAGAGCAGACAAGATTAGAAATGCATACATCAGAGGGACATCTTAGGTTGAGCAGTTTAGAGAGGCAAGGTTGAGATGGTTTGGGCATGTGCACAGGGATAGTGGATATACTGGACAAAAGATGTTGAGCTACTCAACATGAGAAGGAAAAGAGGAAGACCACAGAAGAGATCCGTGAATGTAGTGAAGGAGGACAGCTGGGTTGGTTTGACAGAAGAGATAGGATGAGATGGATCCACTGTGGGTACCCCAAAACTCAGCTACCAAAAGAAGAAGAAAGGGTCTCCTTTGTCAACAGAGACCTGAGTGCAAAACCATATTCAACTTGAGAACAGAGTGATAGTTATACCTACCTCCTGGCAGAGATAAAGGGTAAACAGAGGATGACAATGACGCCAATTTCCACATAGAGAAAGAGAGCCACAGCAGTCCACTGCAACGTCATCTTTGCTGATGGCTTCTGAAGCTAAACCAACCAAAAGACCGGAAACCTAACAGAAAAGAAGAAAAGGGAAAGGAATTGGTCTCACCAGCCTCCCTCAACAAACTTTCAGGTACAGAGAAGGTAAGCTACCTATCGTACGTGGCCATTTCTCAGTAATAACACTACCGTTGAAAAAGACTGCAATAATCTCGAAACCAGTCTATTCACCTTCACGGAAGCTCGCAGAGGCTTGGAGTGAACTGTCAAACTGCTGTTACTGTAACCTGGTTTCACAGCATCACCGCAACAAATACGTGCAAATAAAGTGCTCGTTTATATGTTTAACGGCTAGGTTAAACATATAAACGATTTCACTCTTCCATCTTTAGCCAGCGTTCAGTATCAAGCTTGCATTAACACATTAGCTAACGCTAACATGCAACTAACGCAGGTGATATAGAAACATACATTTTTAAAAACTATTTAAGACTATTATAAGGCCTGCTATAACACGTTATGCTAGATTCCAAGTAGACATATATGAAACTTCCAAAATACCGTAAAAGCAGCAACTGAGATACTTACTAGTTAGCTTTTGAAATCAAACAGGGCAAAGTTTGTCTTCCTGCATCAACGAGTCCTCCTACCGCCTCTTCTGAAAAAATAGCTTCCGTTGCAGTTTTTCAAAATAAAAGCTGTGGCGCTATTACATTTTTTAATCTAACAATATAAATGCGGTCCGTCCTACGTACAATTATTTTCCACAGTTATTGCTATTCCTTTTTAAACTGTAGTGCTGTTTTAACACCCCTTTCATTTTATGATATTGAAGATTTTCGTTATAGGGAAGATTGTGACATTTACGTTGAAGGCAAATAATTAATTACTTGAAGCCGTTTTTTCCTTCATGACAAGGAAATAACGAAATAAATTTCTTACACTTCATATTGATTAGCCACTCTCAGAACACTGAAATATCTTTTTCTTTTAAACCCCTGAAGCCAATAGAAATATTGCATCTCAGTAATGCTTTACATAAACATGACAAACAAAAACAAACTACGCATGTATAGAGATGCACTCTTCGTCAATCACCACGATTATTCTATATTCTGTTTAATAACCTACTATTGCACACTTGCAGAAAAAAAGAAAGCAACAGAGACAGAAATTGCACAGCTATAGATTAAAAACATTTATTGAGCATAAAAACAATAACAATAAAAACTAAAGTCACACCGTTAATTTTCAATGTGGTCATGTCCTGAGATCGTGTACTGATCCATATGTATTCTGGAGGTAATCTATTACAGCTGAAGTACTGGACAGAGAATTGAACACTTTTCTCTCCGGCTGCGAGCTAACCCTCTCCAGCATGTAGATAAGATGATGGTGGAAGCATGTGAACGGAGTGCCCTGTTCAACAGATATGTCCACCCAGTCCCATATACACTGCAAAGGAGTGTCCTCATAGCCAGCAAACATGGCAGGGTTAGCAAGTAACCCACGTGCAGCCATGACACCTAATAAAAAAGATAAGAAAAAAACATGAGCCAAATAGAAAGAAAACTGCCACAGTTAGAAGTATATTTGTTACAATGTTGCTGAAAACAAACATACCATCAACACCAGTGAGCTCGTGGGTCAACTCCACATCCCGGAGATACTTTATGTCGCCGTTGGCAATGACAGGGACAGAAACACTGTCTTTAATTGTCTTTATAGCATCGTAATGGACTGGTTGGTGGCGTTCTTCTGTTGTACGACCATGGACTGTTATCCATGACACACCGGCTGATTCAGCCTTTTGACATAGATCCACTGTCTGCCTTAGGTCCTTGTGAATTCTGTGAAGGATAACAGTAACGGTATTAATATACCAATAATAAGTAGGATCATAATCATAACTAGTATTGTTTTAAATATCTTCCTTTGGTTGCTCCCTTTAGGGTTACCAGGGCAGACCATCTTTCTCCATCTCACTCAGTTTCTAGCATCCTCTTCTGTCACACCAACCCTCTGCATATCCTTCTTCACCACATTCACAGTGCTCTTCCTCTTTTCCCCCTAACTGGCAGCTTCATATTCAACATCCTTCCACTAGCCCTCCTCTGCTCATGTCCAAACCATCTCAACTTTGCCCCTCTAAGTTTTCCTCCAAACTGCTCAACCAGAGCTGGCCCTCTGAGGTACTTGTTTTTATTCCTGTCCACCCAGGTCACTCCCAATGAAAATCTGAACATCTTTAGCTCAACCAACTTCAGCTCCGGTTACTGCCTTTTTGTTAGTGCCACACTCTCCAAACCATAGCAGGTATCACTACCATCTTGCAAATCTTCCCTTTCCCTCTTGCTGCCATCCTTCCACAAATCACCCCCTGACACTTGTCTCCACGCTCTCCACCCTGCCTGCACTCTCTTCTTCACCTCTCTTATGCACTGTCCATTGCTCTAGATGATTGACCCCAGGTATTTAAACTCATCTACCTTCACTCCCTCTACATCTTGAATGTTCACCATCCGGTCGTTAAGTCTGACGTCACTAGCCGTGTCTGGGCCTAAACTCCGCTGCAGGTCCATATATCAAACGATCACTTATGGCATTACTGAGAGTTGAAAAACTGTCTAAAGTCTTTCATCTTTAATAAAATGATCAGCATTCAGCCCTACCATGTGTAATAACTGAGTTTAACATCCAGGCATCCATGAAAATGGAATTTATGACATTTAACGGAGTTAGAAGTTAGCAGGAAGTTAGCTTGCTAGTTTCTATCTAAATACAATATAGCATGTCCTGACTGCGGGGTTTTGGAAACAAATTAAAACGTACAGCTCTGTTATCATTTCCAACATAAATGAAGACAGAAAACTAAACAGCAGTGACGTTTGTAGAGTTACTGAAGTTTGGCTAGCTGGTATATAATGATGTGCTACGTGACCGCTAGCGACACAGCTATGTTAGCATAATATAAACAAGCTAACTGGTTTTCCACTCGATAAAAGTTAACGTGAGTGTTCTCGGTGGTCAGGAACAAATGCAATCGCATGGCAGGATGCTGTAAAAGGACCAAACTTCAGCCAGGAGAATAATCCATCCACAATACGAGGTTAGTCATTCATATACTGCTGCATGGGCTGGGCTGTAGTTACATCATAAGGTTTTAAAAACTGAGCTTAAATAAATGATTAGCGGTAATAAAAGCCAAGGGAGGTCAACAGTGATCACTGACTGTTTTAGGAGCTTTTTGAGATAAATAGATAAAAATACAAAACATTAAACATGTTAACAACACAAAAGCCATATTATACGCAGACTACTTTAGGCCCGGAAGTAGGATTCGTCGCGTCATCACTTAACGACCGGATTCCACCTGTCTCCTTCTCATTCACAAACATGTATTCTGCCTCACTTTAATTCCTCTTCTGTCCAGTGCATACCTCCACCTCTCCAGCCGCTCTTCCATTTACTCCATACAGTGCCTACACAGTGTCGTTCACAAACATCACTGACAGGTACAGTTATAAAGTTATATATTATAAAGGGGTCATAATTCTTCAAAAAGAAACAAAGCTTAGTATGTGTGGGTTTTTTTTTTTTTTTACCTTATTTTAATTGATGCTGTGTAGTTTGGATTGTCCACTTGATTTCTGACGTGTCTCACCATGTCTTTAACAAGTTCAGGCTTGTTAATGAGGCATGCACCATACCCAGCTGACATAGCCCACCTGAAAACAACACAAAAAAAAAAGATACTGAAGCGTTCTGAGTACACTGGGTTTACAAGATTTGTACCTAACTACTGGTCCCAGTAACTCTTAGTTACTATCTGGAATAAAATGTAAATATTCAGAATCAACAAAGAAAAAGCTACTCCGTACAATCACATTGTTTAAATAATGAAAAGTGACAGCATTAGTTTAAACTATCAGTAGCTGCACCTCTGGGGGCAGCCGCAGTTGAGGTCAACTCCATCTGAGAAAGGTGCCACTGCACAGGCTGCATCAGCCAGACTCTGAGCATCATGGGCAGCAAACTGCACTATCAGAGGTCGGTCACCTGAGCAGATAAACAAAGAGTTGTAAACCATCATCATGTCAACAATAGCAATACAGACAATACTGACATTAGTAAATTTTACATTATGTCGCAGGGAAAATCTCTCTTTGAAGAAACTAGGTATGAAGTGCAAGAAATCAACCTAGTAGCTCATTCCAGCTCATATTACAATGTTACTCACGTTCATTAGTAGTGAATTCACTGTCTCTGGCTTTGATTGAGCGCAAGAAGTCAGCTGCAACGATCATTGGAGTGAAGCAGATATCGCAGTTGTACTTCCTAACCAAGGACCTGAAAGCAAGCCTGAAAGAAATAAACATTAGCACAGTGAGCATCATTAACTGTACACGTGTTTCACCAGTAGCCATCCATAAGCAACGGAATTGTAAATTACAGTTAAATAAATGACAGCTTTCACTTACTTTGAGTATCGAACCATTGGGGCACAAATTTTCAGTACTTTTCCCTTTTCAAACATGTCCATGACACTCGTGTTGCCGTTAGCGGTCTTCATTCTTCACATAAGCGGCCAAATGTTAGCCACGTAGCGTAACAAGCTAACTATCTCAATATGCACGTGAAGCCTTTCGCTGTTCAAATATACTATTGTCCGACATCTATGGTATTACTTCAAGGCTAAAAGAAGACCCCACCTCACAGTGTAAAACGCCATTCTGCTAAACAGAGATACGCAGGTATGACTACATGGACCTCAAGACGACACTCACGGAAATGTGCCCACTCAGTGTGGTACAGGGGAGGGAAAAATGCGGGCGTGTGTTTGGGACTTATGAACTGTTACGTCATGCAACAAGATGTATGTTTATGTATTTAATCTTTTTTAATTTATTAGTTTTGTAATATAACCTCCAAACATACGCTATAGCTATTTCAGAGTGTAATGTGTATTTTTTCAAATAAATAATCATGAAAAATAAAGAAAATGTTGTTCGACGCCACGACCTTTACGTCACGCAATGCGACCTTCAGGTTCTGCGGGGGAAGTTAGCTTTTCAGCCTTCAAAAGACTAAAGCGCGAGACTAAAGAGCAATACTGGAATAGAAGCTTGCTGACTGATAGGTGAAATTTGAAAAGATGAAGATGTTTACGCTAAAGAAATAACAAAAAACACAGTATGTGAATATTTATGTTTTAAAAATAAAGTACCACCCAAATGCTTAGTAAACACTTTTTTCATTATGTTAGGAAAATTGAAAATAAGTACAAATAGATTTATTGAAAAATGTGCGTGCGTGGAATTACAGTATAATAAGGCAAAAGCAGAATTTGTATCATACTAATGAGCTTGAAAGTCAGTTCTATTGTAGGTATGCATTTATTGTACCAGAACAGTGTTTGGCATCACTAACATGCTGAAAAATAAAGCTGTTGCCATTAAGATGCTTTCCAGAAGGTACTGCATAGTGGATATTATGGTACTTTTACATGTTCATAATTCTATCAGTTCTGACAAGATCCCAAACACAAGTGACGGAAATGCAGTTCCTTCTTGACAGTCCTCTCTCAATTGACTCAAACAGCAGATGGATAAACTGTACGGGTAGATGCATCTCTCAGGTCCTGTTTCAGTTCTCTGTTGTATATATATATTTCCTAAGAACATTATTTTCATACTGTTCATCTGCTAGTTTGATTATGTGTGTGTGTTTTAGGACTTCCTGAAGAACTAATTCTCAATAATCTCAATATTCTCAATAATAAATCTCAAATAATAATAAGAAAACAACAACAGTCTGGTTCCTTAGATGCAAAATATATGGAAGAAGTTCTAAGCAGGAGTTCATGGTTCCTTTTCTTATTAGGTCAGACCCATTCTTTTCCATTTATCCTCATCAGGGTCGTCAATCCCATCTAACAGAGGGCGAGAGGCGGGTACATCCTGGACTGGTCGCCAGTCTGTCTCTGGGTCACATGGTTTATGAATAATGAAAAGTGAAATTATGGTGCAGGAGGTTTCTGCAACATTCATACTCTCCTCTAATCAGGGCAGACTTGCCAAAGGTGAAAGTACTTTTTGAAGAAACTCACCTTGGGCAGCAATGCTTTAGACATATTGAACTAATGCTCACAATGCTAATAAACAGAGCACAAACTTTAAACATAAAGAATTTTGATGAAAGCCAAATTATTGCACTTTGCCTCTGTGGCCACAAGAGGGCATTACAGTAACACAATTATACAAAAACCAAAAAGAGTCTGACTTAAAAGGGTCAATTCACCCCACATCAAAATATATTTTGATGCTGTCGACTTAAAAAAACAAAAACAAAAAACCAACACACATCAGTATATCCTGATTACTTAAGTTAGATCTTCAGATTTAACAAGGCATTGTCTGGACAATAGGTTAGACACTAACTAGCATTTGGTCTGTGACCATGAAATAGTTCAAAACAGTTTACAAATGTAAATTAGAGGTCAGTCATTTTTTTCCTCACTCCATATAAAACATACATCTTGTTCTTTTAACAAATCTCTTTATTTTAAACTGGCACTGAATATGTGACTGATGCGGGGGGGGGAAAAGAAGAGTCAACCAATACACCAATTAAAATTTTAAAAAGAAATTACAAAAATACTCCTCAGCACACCACATTTGTGTAGAGACTCATTTAACCATCTGATAATAAAAAAGTCAGATCCAAAATATCAACAAGATAAATACAAACTCCAAACAGGTCACAGGAAAAGTTGTAGCAGGGGAATGCAGCTTGTTACTTTGACTAGTAAGCTAGTAAAGTATACCAACATAGTATCCACTTCAGTAAACTCCACACTCGTGATTCATCTAAACTACCTGCTTGTTCAGTTTAAGCTTACACACGATTATGAATAGAGAAGTTTCCTTAATCCATCAATATTTACATCATACAATATTAAGTGCGGCCTTTAACAGTAGCTAGAGGCAAGGCTTGCAAAGAGCTTAAGTTGTTGGCTGTGCACAAAAAAACAAAACAAAACCAGCCGTTTTGTACAGTGTGGATAAGTTAGTGATATATTTTTTTAAGCATATATATTTAATAAAAAAAAAAAAAAAAAGTGTTTACTGCTCTTCTGCTCCTTGAACATCCTCAGCAGTGTTAAAAGGTGCTCCTGTCTTTAGCTACAGCCTAATCGCTTTAAAGATAATTTTTAAAGAAGCCACTCACACGCTTGACCAGCTTAATGCAACACAATTTGCTCAGAGCAAATATGCATTGTCCTCATTTTGGTCCATATTGTTTCTACAGCTAATAAAAACAACGCATCATTACACCTCTGGAAACCTTTCAACCAACTACAACCTGAAGCATTCAAAAGTAATACCCATGCTAGTGGAGAGCTTCATTCATTGGCAGGGATATAAACATGTCCTGACATGGTCTGAATATTTAATCTACTCAAACCATGTCTTACCTGCTTTGTTCTCTGTAACATGTTATATAAACACACTTCTTAAAATGATAGCAGGCTACACAAGTGTTAAAAAAAGACAAGACAGCAGGTCAGTGGCAACTAGCCTTAAGGGAGCACCAATTTAGGGGCCGAGGGAATGACAGCATGTCCCCGGCCATCTCCCCCCGTGATTCCACTCTCACTGAGGTAACTTTCTGTTGGCCACAGCATCCAACTCTACGCTGGAGAGGAAACGCCTGGACAGCCGGTGACAGTTGTAGCTCAGCTCTGTGGTATAGATGGTGCTGGCTTTCTTGGGGTAGATGATGGTGGTGCTCTTGAACTGCTTGGGGCGATGGCGAGGCTGGAACTCTAGCTGTGTCACGTAGTGGCGCCAGGTGCTGTTGGACACAGCCATAACGGTCTGCCTGCAGTGCTCGAGGCTTTGGCCCCACGGCTCCAGGCTGACATTCTGGATGAAGTGGCGGTCTGAGTCATAGTGCACTGAGGAGGTGTATCTATGGATAAGAGAGAATGCAGCGATTTTAGTCAAACAAAATACAGCAAAGCTAACTTGTGAGAAAACAGTGCCACTTTTCTCTTGTACATGCTTTTTGGGCTGTCACATCAAAGTCAACACACCTCATTTCCTTTGGTGGTAATGGATCAAGTGCTATGCCTTCCCCAAAGGACAGCGGGTGTAGCTGTGGGAAAGATCCAGCAGGTAAAGCTGGAACCTGCAAAACATGAAACAGACCCTCAGTGGATACAGGGGAACTTTGGCCCAGTTCAGAGCCACAGGCAGTTTAAACAAAACGTTTTGGTTTTTTACGCATATAAACAAATAACTTAAAACAAATGTATGTTCAGTGCTGAAGTGGCCTACTTCTTTACTTAAAAGAGGGCTGTTGCCTAGTAACTTCAATAACCTCTATTTTATGTCTCAAATCAATAGCTGTGCAATAGCAACATGCAGTCAAAAGTAAAACAGTCATTTTTAAGAGCAAGAAGTCAGATTTCAGGTGCAGTTCACGACCATTTGTTTTGCTCCGACAGGAAACTGATGGGTTAGATCACAGGATGTAGTGAGACACACTGGTGGTACGTACCAGGGAGACCCTTCCTTCGTCTTCAGACACAGAGCTCACTCCACCGGCTTTATCTGCGGACACAGGCAGCAGCCAGGCACTGGGGCTCGGACTAGGGGGTAAGCCAGAGTCCGGGCTATCAAGTCCTCTCTCAGCCCTGCAACTCATATCCAGAGGATCTCCTTCACATAAATTTGGCAAGTTCAAACTGCCAACCATTTCTAGGTACAAGTTGCAAAATCCCAGCGAGTAAGAGACAGGTTACAAAAGAGGATTCCTTCCAGCGCGCAGTCCGCCGTATTCTTCTTCTTCTTAATTATTCCGTCACAGAGTCCCGCGGTGTAGCTGCTAACCTCTTCCCGGACAGCATTCACGGCTGCACGCTGGAAAAGTCATCAACCAGGCGGTAAATCAGTTTCCTTCCCTCCACAACTCCAAAGCCAGAAACTCGAGCTTTCAAACTTCTTTATCTTAACATCTCAAAAACGCCGAGCACTTTATGCCACCTCCACGGTGAAGACATTCAGAGAGACTTGAGCAGGTTTGTTTCTAAGAAACACTGAGCTTGTCCTGCTGCCCGCGGGTCCTCTTCAAACTTCTTCCCCCTTCAAAGGGGGCTTTCAGCTCCACGAACACAGAAAAGGAAACGCCTTTCGAATCACTTGAGTGGATGCTGATTGGTCAGAAGATAATTAGCAACAAGAGACCGGGCCAAGCATGGGAACTTTTCCAGATCCTCATTCAATTGCAACCTGGCGAAATCAGGTTGATGCGTTTTCCTGGTATTGTTCGAAACGCGCAAGTGAGAAAAAAAAGTAGTGTACGCCCATGTTATGAAGCATAAGGAAAAACTTTATGCTTTGCACTGTTGCCCGTGGAACACAGGCAATTCAAAGCAGTGGCATTTTGCACCTGAAGGAACTAATGCAGGAGTATCAAACATAAGGCCTGGGCACAGGAATGGCAAAGACTTTTTCCTAACCCAATTTTCCAAAATGTGAAGGAGTGCATATAGATTTTGATTTTTTTTAAACTGTATTTTCATAGGACTAGCGTTTCCTATTGATAAAGACCACCGCCCTGCCGGTATTCATACTACACCAAAGTAATAAAAGTAATGGATACAAAAAAAAAAAAAAAAAAATCAGTTAACTTACAGAAAATGTTTTTATTTTTTATTTTTTGAATTAAGTCCACATTTTAAAAAACTTGTTCTCCAGTTTTACAAGTTTATGTAGTTTTACTAGTCTGGCCAATGTAGCATAACAGAGGACTGCATGTGGCCCAAGATGTAAAATAATGTGCACACTAAATGCAGCCATCTATTTTGCCAATGAGGACTTATGGAGTTGGGAGACACTGATGTCAAAATGCATAAACACAGCCAGGGAAAAGGCATCGGATAAGGTTTTGGTGTCTGCAAGCCAAATTTGGAATATATTTGACCTTGAGATCAAAAAACAAACCTATTTGTGCACTTTTATGGACACACATTCACTAAAAGAAAACCTTTACCTTCTATCAGTAAAGATGATTTTTAACAGAGGATTAACCTTTACAGAATATGACTACACACTTGTGCGATTAAGGTCAAAGACAGCCTAAGTGTTAAAAACTGAAGGGAATCCAAAGATCCCGTTTGCTTAAAGAAGCTACGAGTTCAGTTTGGGTCACGGGACAAACACCACAAAAACAATCAGAACACCTATGATCACGCCCCCTTTTAATGAATGGCACACAGATTTCAATCCCACACTGAATTAAAACAGATGAGCAAAAAAAGAAAACCGACGGTTATCCTTGAAGTATAGTATTTTCAGCTTTAATTAAGATCAGGCCTCCTGGAATAGTCGAGAGAAGCAGCCAGAAGCTCTCTGATTAGAGTTTAGTCAACAACTCCACATTCTGCAAAACAACAAAAAACTGTGCAACAATTAAGTAATGTTACAAAACTCAGGCTTTAGTGTAATAAAACCACAGACGTACATGACATGTGTAACAACATCAAACAGTTAAGGACGTTTCCTCATAATCCACCCTCAGCTTGGGTAGGCATCAGTCAGAAAACTCAGTCAACTTTGTCCTCCTTCTCCACGACGACCGAACGCAGCACAATGATGGAGTCTTTGCGATGAATAACCGCAACAAAGTTGAAGGCCATGCCAGCCTACGCTTTTCAAGATGCGATTTCACAGCCTCTTCTTAATGAGCTTCTCTAGTTTGCGGATACGTGAGGATTCCTGCTCAGGGGTGGGGGTACTGAAGGACAGAGAGGGCCCACCGTCTGCCCCTGAGGGCGGAGTGGGTAGCCTTTGCCTGAAGAGCTCCAGCATGCTGCTCTGCTCGCTGCGCTTCAGGCCCTGCGCACACAAAATAAAAATAAAGCACACACAAATATATGTTTAAAATAAATAAATAAAGGATGCAGGATAACAACGACTGGTAAATGAACCTATGCAGCACAGCCTTATGGGAGATATCGTTGAAAGATAGATGAGAAAATCCACACTGGCAGAGACAAGCTAACTGACCTTCATATCCAGAATCTTCTGGAAGGTCTCGGGATTGCCATCAGCCAGGAGCTTGATGTAGTTATCAACAAACACCACCGGAGGTTCATGTGGGGCCATCACCACCTGCAGAAAAGTAGAGTTTAGGATTGTTGATGTCGCCTTCCCCCCCACCACAACCACCAGCACCAACCACCTTCCTGTGAGCCATCACACGATGACCCGAGAGATCTTTAAGTGATCCCATATGGGGGCAGCTATGGGCCAAATGGGAGGAAAAGGAGGGGCTCCAGCTGATGGAGCCATGCAGTTTTAGCTGCAAACAAAGTTTAGATTATACTTCTATATTTAGGCACTTCTCCTTTTACACACCAATTACCTCAAGCACCAGTGGATCACCCGTAATTATTTTGGAGGTATAATGAGTCTAGGTGAAAATCAGCTTTACTGAAGAGCAGGCAAAAAAAAAAAAAAGTTTAATGGGGCACAATTTTTCTGGATTTAATCCTCTTGGTTGTTTTTTTTGTTGTTGTTTTTTGTTTTTTCCCTACAACAGAGACTGGGTGGAAAACGCAGATCGGTTAGCATTTCTTGAAAGCCGCTACAAAGAAGGAAGACCAACACATGGCTGACAGACCACCCCTATTCCCATCTCATGCATACGCGTCCACAGAAGGGACCAGCTCACAAAATGTTTCTCCTATCCGTCACTTAACAGAGTCTAGAGTCTTTCAAGCTTTGGTTCCATCTTCACTTGAGGTAAAATAAATGAGAAGACGAGCTGCCGAGGGAGTGAGCGAGTGGAGGAATCAGAAGCAAAAGACGGAGCGAGTGAAGAGCAAGCATCAAAGGCTCAAGATCGTGTGGAATTCTCTGCTTTCTTACAAGCTCTGCTGACTGAGTGATTTACTAAGCAACTGTCCTGGAGCCAGGCCAAGAGCAAGGCCTGTAGGGACCCTTGTAAAAAAAAAAAAAAAAAAAAAAAAAAGAAACAAAGAAAGATGGAGATGCAGTTTAGAAGGAAAATGGGCATTAAAAGGGAGAGAGAACCAGAGTAAGTGGGGTGGGGGGATTTATCACAGTGAGAAGGGTAGGGATGAGAGCTACCTTTAAAATACTCTCTAAAAGAGAAGAGAACTTCAAAAGTGGGAAAGAGAGACGGAGCCATAGCAGGCTGGGCTGGGTGTGGAAAACAGCCACGTCTCAGAGGCTTTGTACTGGCCAGGAGAGGCCGTCTCAGACGGACCAAAAAATTCCGATGCACTTTGAACATAACTAAGTACTGGCTCGCAAAACAGACAGCCCAAATAAAGACAGGTGACAAATTAAAGGAAAAAACCATAAGGAAAAACGAAACACACCCATTTCATCTTTTCCAGGATGACAATACTCCCATCCACACACAGGGAATCACAAAATGGGTTGACGAATAAGAAAATAACACATGCTATGACTTTGTCGTCAACAGGTCGCAAATGTGATCACAAAAGGCCCTAAATAATAACACACGCACACATATACACAGAAAATTGTCCTATCTATAAAGCATGGTGGAGGGACCATTGTTGTTTAGAACTGTTTTGTGTTTTGGAACTGTTAAAAACAAAGTAATATTCTGAGATAGGCAGGCTGGTGACCTAAAAAGCTGCTACAATAAACATCTCATGGAGGTTGCTCTTGATAACTGAGGTTCCCTAGGTTACCAAATTCAAGCATACCAGGGAGCAGATGGAGTGATTTCTCAGTAGGTTTCATTTATTTTTGGCACATTATTTTATTTTGTATAGATGTTATTTATTTATTGTGATTACTTCTTGGCCTTCTTTTAGCGCCAATGTGCAACAGTACCGCAATTTCATTGTACTATTGTACAAATTATGAGTGTGTAGTGACAATAAAGAGGTAAACTAAAAAAAACATGCCTGTGTGTTATCAGTTTTATCTAAAATTCGATTAGAGCTCCAACTGAAATTTTGGTCATTTTAAAAGGTTAAAAACAAAAACATTAAAGACTGCAGTTATCCTCTGTTTTATGGAGCATTCTAGCAGTTTTCAGGTGATTGTTTTGCTCCATGACACAAAACCTAATATTTTGGTGGTGGCACACTCAATGTGGACTGCCTGCCCCTACCTTTATAAGCTAAAGAGGCAGAGTCTGAGACAAAACTGAGCAAAAAAGCAGAGCGAGTGCTGGATGTGTATGAATCACATCACCGTGTCAGAAAAACAACCCCAAGTAAATCATTATGTTGTTCCACTTGTGCTGTCAGTGAAGTGTTTGATAATCTATTAACCATAACTCTACCTCACACACGCAGCTTGTTATGCTACTCAGGAAGCAAGCATAATCCATGTCTGCTGCTTTAAGTATAGTATAGTAACATCTACTCGCAACAAAACACCATGGTTTTGATCTTCATTTGGTTCACAAATGTTGTTATTCTTATAATTCTAAGATCAGCTGATTTAAATACTAACTATTTTAAACTCTAATTTACCCCCATGGACTTCAAGTTCTCCAGGGTATAAATGAAAACTTGCAAAACAAAGCTGTTTCCGTTCAAAGAACTTAGACTGCACTTAATTAATTGACAAGTACAAGGAATCTGCTTTAATCTCGGAGCTTTAAATACTTAAATTGCTCCTTTAACGCTCCCACTGAATTGCAGTTTCTCAGGAAGACGGATTTTAATTTCAAGCCACAGCATCACAGAGTGTAATTTAAAACTATCGTTGAGGTTAGGCAGAGGAATTCTCGTATTGACCTCCTTTCATTGGGATTGTCTTTCAGAGGCTTCACTCTAAGCTCAAGGTGGAAGCAATTACCTACAAGGAACCTTGATGTTACACAAAGTCAATGCTTAAATCGTTGGATAGTACAAAAAGCTTCTCTTTACCGTCTAAAAATAGTTACAGTAATATATCTTCTTTACATATAGTCTATATTATCATTCAGTCTATCATATCATTAAAAATACTCCCTGTTAATGTATTTACAATTTACAGTGAATTTTCCTCAGCAGTTTGTTTGGTATCAAGTTTTTGGTTTTTTGACATGTCTGCTGTATCAGATTTCCAGCCTTCGGAATGATTATTCTGTCTCCAGTTGTCACAGTAATGCATAT